GGCCAAAGAGGCCAAGATGGGACATTTCATCCTCTCCTAAATGTTGTGAACAAGTCAGGATGAACCTTGGATTAAATGTTACCTGAAGTATCCATCCTTTTGTTAAAGTAGTGCATGAAGTACATATGTCCACTTTGTCATTAACTGTTCATTGTTGGGATTTCTTAGTGTTTGTCCAGCACTAAACGCTGTGGGTATCATTGTGGATTTGGGGTTGGTGTTGTTGGGGGTTGTGGTCAAGCTACCAAAGAAACTTAACATGTAATAGCAGGTATGAAAATGGCCATGTGAAAACAACAATGAAAACACAAACAAAAATATAAGTCACTTTAATTTGTGTGGTGCAGGGTAAAATTGAAACAGCTGGGCGAACAGGAGTAGTGAGGGAAGGAGTCATGTGGCTGGGCCCTGAAGGATGGCTGCAGTCTCATCAGGAGAAGGCAGGGTGTGCGGGAAAAGCTGGAGCAGACGGAAGGGTCAGGATGCCGGAATGAGCATGCTCACGGGAGGCCTGTGATAGGATTGGAGTCATGAAGAGGAGGGTGAAAGAGGTTAGACAGTTGGGATGGAGCCAGATTTCACCTCACTCTGGAAGCCAGGTAGAGGGCAGACTAGAGACGATAGGCCTGCGTTTCTCAAACCCCCCGCCTACTCATAAATATGGGGCGTCTTCCTAGAAACTCAGTGCTACACAGATATTTGGGGCAAATCATTCTTTAACTCATGTACTAAAACAAACATGGATATATTTTGGAGAAGAATACAAAATTGGCATGACTTTAACACCAAAATAAGCAAATTTTAAGAAGTTTTGGCTCATAGCAGATCACTTGGATGATACTTTCACACCCCCATGTACTGTCCTCAATATGGTGTGTATGGATGGGACCGTTTGAGAATTTCTTAGGTGATAGGAAGTAAAACCTAATTGCTTGAAGCCCTGTGCCTGGAGTGTCTTTGCTGTCCCTCTTAACACCTTCTGGTCCCACTCCAAGAGCTGATCTGACATCCTGACTAGTGGAGCGAAGTGGTTATATGTCATATTAATACTAGTCCATACCAAGGAAGGCATTGTGGCTTAACATCAAGTGGTAGGACATTTGTGTGGTCCTTTGTAGGTTGATTTGCCATCATTACCTTAATAGCCCTGGAAATAATTATTATTACTTTGATTTATAAATGATGGGTGGCAGGTATTGTAAACATGTTCATTGGGTCCTTTTAAGAACAATTCTATGTTAGGATATGGGTCCTGGCATGCAGAGGGTCCAATAGTCACATTCGTGTGTAAGACCTTTATTCTGAAAGGGCGCTTCATGCTACATGTGATCTGCTATCCTTACGAAGGCACGCTGACTTTTTAAATTCAGTTCTCCAACTTCTGTCAATTGGTACCTTGCTGGACAATATTTAATGATGGCTTTCAACTCCATATTTCCTATGAAGAATTTAACTGACGCACAATAGAATTTTGGTGGATAATTTAGTCTTGCAAATCTCTGTTTGTCTGCCTCTGTCTTTTTCTTCTCAGATTATTTACAACTCAGGCTCAGTAATAAATATCATCATGATTTGAACCAAGAGAATGACCTGCTTTTATTGAGCAGGGTATTTTAATAATAAGATATTCCTTACTGTGTTCAAACCTCATGAAGCCCTGTCTATTTTAATGCCAACTTTCTGAAGACTCATTAGTAATTAATGAAATCATGAAGAATGGTTCATGGTGACTGACACCTTCTTGGCAACCACAATCCCCTCTTGTACTTAGTTGAAATGTCACTGGCTCCACAGGTTTGATTTGGGGGGTGGAGTGGGTGGGTGGAGAGGGAGGGAATTGGATTACATAAAGTTTCACAACAGCCATCAGCTAGAACAGAAAGCTGTGAGTGTGTTCCTCCATCTTTTTCCTTAGGAAGGTGTGCTGGGAGAAGTTCTCTGAAAAATCTTTCATTCATCCAGTGCTGGTTTTAAGAAAGCCTGCTAGGACCACATTTTCACTAAAATGGTATTGTGTGTCCCAACTCAGTTAGCAAAGATGGAGTGTTGAAAGTCACCCTCTTTTTTTCCCTCCTGTTTTCACACATTTCCTTCTTTCTTGGCATTGCCTAGATTTATTCTCCTCTTCTCCCTTTTAGGAACAGAATTTGGCATAAATAAATGATAACTGAGAAAATGGTATAAACAGAAGAGTAAACACAGGGTTTCTCCAGCCTCCCACTGTAGGTCAGGGTAATTTGTTGTAGCAAGTGGTTACCTACAAGAAAGACGGCAGTTCTAGTGGCAGCTATTTAATTTGTTTTTTAATAAAAAAAAGCCAAAGCAAAACAGAAACACATTCTTGCCTTAATTACTCAAAATGGAACATGAACCCCCAAAAGCCTTTCAAACTGCTAATGCACTGAAACTTTTAAATCAAAATGGACTAATTTGTCAGGGTACTGCCCACAAAATGGAATTCGGTACATTTCATACCCCAATGAATTTAAATTGTATGGAGCTGATATTTAATACAAGTGCAAGTGCCAGTGGAATCTGCATACTTAATATGCATTCTCTAACTCTCAGAATTAAGCAGGTGATCTATGGGACACAAAGGAATCATCCTTCTCTCAAAGAGAATATTTTATGACCAGGCAGTTTAAAAGGCACTGACATAAACAACTGTTTGCAGCTCTCTCTCTCTCTCTCTCTCTCTCTCTCTCTCTCTCTCTCTCTCTCCTCCTCTTCGGAAGTCAAAAAGTACATGTAAGGATATGCTGTTTTAAACAAAGCATTTTAGAAAATCACTTGAAATGTTTTCTTTTTCCTTTGAGGACAACTGAACCTTTGATAGGTGCCCAAGAGTGTTCTTACAATTTATTTTATTTTATTTTTATTTATTTATTTTTTAGGAGGGACAAAGAGATAGTGTGAAGGCCCAAAGCTGAAGCCTGCTTTCTCTTGGAAATGGAAATCTTACTGCTTAAATCATAAAAGTGTTATTCATGCTTTTTACACTGTGACTGAACATGTCAGATTTGCTGGGACAGGGTCAACTTTAAATGAATAGCTAGATTTAATTTCATCATTGTAACATTTTTAAAAATTTCACCTAGATGATGAATGACATAGAAAATAAATATTTTGCTACAACCCTTGTCCTAGTTTTTGATTCCTAATATGTGCTCACTCTCCTTTTAGCCATGCTGCTATTTGGAAAGCCATTATGGAAATGACTTAATTTTTTTGAGGTATGTGCTTCACAAATAAAATGTACATCCTACATTTCTCATTTCTTTCAGATGCTTGAGGGAGAAGGATGGCATTGAGTGAAGAGCTGCCTCATTTTCCAGAGAGAACAAGGCATCAATCAAGAGCTTGGAGGGGCTTCCTAGCTGCAGCAGCAACAGTGCTTAGTCCTGAGTTTTTACCTCCTGGACTCCAGCATGGGTCCCCTCCCCACACTGTTCATTGAACTATCATAGCACAATGATAATTCCATGAGGCTTAGAGCCAGGTACAGTTTATGTTTTGAATTGGGTTATTAGTCAGCCCACTTACTGAGTGCTAGGTGTTGTCAGTGGACTTGTAAAGATATACATGATACTGGCTCTGTCCTTACAGAGCTTGCAATGTGTTTAGGGAAGCCAGGCATGTCTGTATGCACGAAGCAGAAGCTCCCCAGAAAAGGTAGGGAGCACATGCCATTTGCCTCCAAGGATGCAGATGATGATAAGGACTGCAGTTGTTCAAGGCCACAGGGGAGGACCTGGAACTACAAGCCTGGACTCAAAGATGTGCAGATCTCATAAGAGGAGGGTGCAAGGTTAGTTTCTAACTTATTTGAAACTTGATATTCTAAGAGCTTTCCTTAAGAGACTGTTTTAAAATTCTTTTTTTTTTCCTCTAAAAAAAGTCAGCTACCAAATAACATCCTTTCCATATAGTGAAAAAAATACATTAAGGGGGATAAAGCGGTCAAAACTTGTGCTTCATGATTCCTTGTTGAACAAGGAAAAGCGTTTAAGCTGTTCCCACCCTTTGATGGGTTTCTTCTCCTCTGTTCCCTTGCTTTGGCTGTAGATGTAAGTCTAAACAATTAATTGAGGCCAAGTCAGATAAGTGAAAGTGAGGGTGGGAGCAGAATTATTAGCTCTGGAATGCCCGTCTCTCTGGGCCCCCCAGTGAGAACAGTGAGGCATTCCAGACTTTCACTGGCTTTAAGAACAGCTCTTCTGAGACTCTGAATAGGCTGCAAACGGACACTGCCTTCTCAGGTTAGGGGCTTAGTTGGAGCATGAGGGAAAGCACTGATGAAAAAACTCCAGGGAAGGTGCATAATATGTCCCCCCAAATAATCTAAAATGACCTTCACGTGTCCTCCAGGGTGGCCCCGGAACAGCACCATTATATTCCTTCAGCTCTTACCTTGCTCTGCTTGCCAGAGCCTGTCTGACACAGGCGGAAACCCCCGCCGTTGTATTTCTCTCTGCCCTCAGGAACATGCACCAGTTGGGGAAAAATAAGGCCAGAAAATTGTTGCTATGGGCTCTGTTTTGTGGAAGTTAAAATGCTGGAGCAAAAAATCTGATTGCTTGATGGCTCCATCTCCCTCGCTCTCCCTCTCTCCCTCTTTCCCCCCACCCCTTCTTGCGTTTTCCCTCT